GGGACTTGCGTAACCTGCAAACTTTATGTTTACCAGCCTCAGAACTGAAACCTTGAGGAAGATACATGTATACCTCCTCACGTAAATCACCTTGCAAGAAAGCATTATAAACATCCATTTGATGTAAGGTCCAACCTTTAGTTGCAGCTAAAGAAACAACTCCTCTAACAGTGACCATTGTAACAACATGAGAGAAAGTTTCTTGACAATTAATTCCATCCTTTTGATTGTAGCCCTTGGCCACTAGCCTTTCTTTAAATCTTTCTACTTCACCATTTGCCTTATACTTGATCTTGTATATCCATTTACATCCTATGATCTTCTACCCTTTAGGTAGTGCTATAACTTCCCATGTCTTATTTTATTCTAATGGCCATATCTCAGCTTTCATTGCCTCTATCCACTTGATATCTTTGGCAGCCTCCTGATATGATCTGGGCTCAATGATGCTTGAGACATAGGCCACAAAGTTCTGATAAGGCTTGGACAGATGATCATAGCTGACCACTACTAATAGGATAAAGGCATGTGTGCCACTGTCTTTACCTTGCCTTGAGTTACAAAGTCCTTGAACCAGATGGGAGGCTTATTGACTCTCCCTGATTGCCTGACTGCATTCTGTATGGGCTCCTTATTAACAAGTTGCTCCTGAGAAATGAAAGTTGAAGACTGAACATGTGTATCTTGAGTTGGTGAAAGAGAGTCTGCCCTGGGCAAGACATCCTGATGTTGCACTTATTGCTCAATGGGATCAATGATGAACCTGTCTACCTCCATCTCAGGTTCCCTCAATACATGTGATTATTTTCCTAAATTAAATAACAAGTCTTCTGGGTTGGAAGGAACAATTTCTATAGGGGTTAGTGTAGGTATGTGATGCAGAGAACTATCAAGCAAATTAATAGGAGGACTCAGATATTGGAAAGGGTAGATGTCCTTATGAAATGTGACATCTCTACTAACAAAAATAGATTTGTTAGCTATATCATACTACTTATACCTCTTTTGATTTGCACCATATCCTAGTAAAATAAATTTGATTGCCCTTAGGGAAAATTTATCCTTCTTTCTGACATCTGTGGCATACCAGAGATATCCTATAACTCTCATGTGCTGCAAAGAAGGTGCTTTCCCATAGACAATATCATAAGAAGACTTGTTGTCCAGTACTACAGATGGAAACCTATTAACAATCTACACAGCCCCAATGATGCATTGACCCCAAAATCTGATAGGTAAGTGTCCCTGAATTCTTATTGCTCTTGCTATTTCTAATATATGTCTGTGCCATCGCTCGACCACTCCATTTTGTTGTGGAGTGTAAGTGCAAGAGCTTTGATGAACAATTATATTGGTTTTGAACAAATTACTACAATTGGAGTGGAAGAATTCTGAACCATTGTCAGATCTAAACACCTTAATTTTCTGACCAAATTAAGTAGCCACCATCACAATAAAATCCTTCAATAAAACCACAACATTAGATTTAAGGTGCAGAAAATGAACCCAAGTCCATCTAGAGTAGTCATCAACCAATATAAGAAAATACCCCATTCCATTATGTGTTGGCACCTTATAAGAGCCTTATACATCCACATGTAAGAGAGCAAACATACTATCTGCCTTGCTACTACTAATTGGGAATGGAACTCTTGTTTGTCTTGCTAAAGAACATACTTCACAATGAGTAATACAAAACTTATCACTATTCTAAAAAGTAGTGAACTTCCTAAGAACAGACATGGGAACATGACCCATTCTCTTGTGCCAGAGTTCTGTAGGTACATTCCTTATTGCTGTCATAGACTTTATATTTTCAAATTGGACTGTCATATTTTGTTAACACAGAACGTATAGCCCATCTACCTCTCTACCAATATCCTTTACCCTCCCAGTGAAGATCCTGAAACACATAAAAACTAGGAAAGAATATGATGTAACAATTCAGATCTCTTGTCACTTTTGATACAAATATGAGATTGAACTTAAAAGTTGGCACACACAACACATCTTTGAGGACTTCACCTTCTGTCAATGAGCAATTTCTAATCTGAGACACCTGCTGAATCACCAGTTGAAAGTTTCACCTATGCCAGAATTTGCAACTGCATAATTAGTAACTGATACACCAGTGTTCAACATGGATTTTTCACCAACCATGTGGTTAGTTTCCCCAAAATCCACAATCAATTTCAAGTTAGTTAATGTAAAAAATAAAGGTTTACCTGCTAAGCTTACACTTGCATCAGATATGTTTGCCTTCTTTAACATGGTTAAGATTTGACTGTATTGTTCCTTAGTGAAGAATGGTGCTACTAGTGTATTCATGTGACCAACTGACTGCTAACCATAATCTCCCCCTACATTCACCAAGTTGACCTTTTTTCCTTTGAAATCAACTCGATATCCTATCACCTTATAGCAGTTCTCTTTTGTCTGACCTTTGATCAAACAAACCTCACATTTCATTAGCTTGAAGCAATTGTCACTGTTGTGTCCTTTCATGTTACAATAGTCAAAGTACATATTGTAATTTTTTCTATTCCCCTGTCCCATTCATGTGCCTCATATTGTTGTGAATAAGGCTGTTGGTTCAGTACCATTTCCCCCTAAATTTAGCATTCCAGAAGTTGCTTTCTGACTCTCATCGTGCACCAACATAGCATATGCTTGATTTACACTAGGAGTTGGTATCCTCATGTTTGACTCCTTACTTGGCTATATGAGTCATTAAGTCCTATTAGGAACTGTAGTAACCCCTGGTTTCAGAGATGAACCACATACTCCTTAGATTCATCACAATTATAAGAAGTAAAAGCAATAATTGAATCCATTTCATCCCAAAGGTCTTTTATTTTTGAGTAGTAGACAGAAATAGGTGAAACACCTTGTTTTAGTGTACAAATTGCTCGAAGCAAATGATAGATTCTTGTCAAGTTAACTTTGTCAAATCTTTCCTGAAGATCATTCCATACATGAAATGCATTTGAACTATAGAGAATTCCACTGAGTAAATTTGCACTTACATTGCTCGTAAGCCAGAAATCACCATTGCATTACAGCGATTCCACTGTTTCACCAGATCTCCTCTGTAATCTTCACGTCACACTGAGCCATCTATGAAACATAGCATGTTCTTCACTAGCAAAGCTACTTTCATGGATCAACTCCACAACGAGTAGTTCTCCATTCCGACCAGCTGAATTCCAATTTGAACGACGCCAGGAGTGTCGCCGGCACCAAGGAATAAAGGGTGATTGTGGTCAATCACCATCGAGCTACCGCCAGTGACTCCGCTTGAAGTATCACTCATATTTTCAGTAACTATCTTTTTAATCGCTATTGAATTTGAAAAATAGGGTTTGCTTGCTACACTATCTCTGAATTCCTCGTTTTTCACTGTCAATTTTGTGAAAAATCCCTCAATCTAGTAGCTAGTTAGTTCTGATACCATGTTAAGTTGGCCGATTATCAGCCATGACTTAAGAGATTAGGAGGAGAAGAAGAATGAAGATAGAGCAAGGAGAAATCGACAGCTTCTAGAATAATCTGATCAACATGCAATTACAGAAAATGAAGCTCTGCCTAAATAGCTATTGTATCTAGCAATATATACAACTAACTAACCGACTTAATTAATCAACTAACTAGCTACAATGTACAACTGTCCCTAGCTAGTGTCCAACTCAACAATAGTGCACTGTAGTGCATCTATGTAATTCCTTTACACCTATCATTTGTGAGATTATAATGGGTATATATGTTGTTGTTAAATTATTCTTGTCAAACTTTTTCACCTTCAGGTTAAGGTTTAAATGTTTAAATTAAATAATCCTAATATCGTAGCCAAGAAAATAAATTAAATATTCTGCTAGCATCATATAAAAAATAGTAGACCGGTGCACTAAATTTCCGTTATATATGCGCGGGTCCAGAGAAGGGCCGGACCAGAAAGATCTATTGTACGCAGCCTTACCTTGCATTTTTGCAAGAGGCTGTTTCCACGGCTCGACCAGTGACCTCCTGGTCACATGACAACAACTTTACCGCGAATGCTCCCCTTCTCTATCAGCATATAGCCGTAAAAATTTCGTACGTTCTCAGTGTAGATAAGTTAAAACATTAGAGCGTATTAGTTTATTTATTTTAATTTGTGACGGGGACATCTGATTTTTGTAATAGTACACATTATGCTCTATGTATGCTAGCTTCAACAACGATAAAGAAATTTTCTAATCCAGTTTTGGAAGGAACAAATGGACTATCTGTTGAACATATGCATGACTAGTAGAATCTATATTGTGCTTTGCCAATTGTTTGACATAGTCTTGTCCAATAGTTAATTACTTGTTGCCTTACTCTAATTAATGAATCTTTCCTACATTTGTTGCTTTTGTGGGGTTAGTAGAATAAAAAATAAAGACAAATATGTCGAAGACTGAAAATGAGAGGCCTACTGGTACAAAGAACAAGTGCCACTAATTTATTTTGCTACAATTCAATAAATAATAAATAGAACCAAGAAATACACTATATTGTGGAAAGAATTCCGACCATGTTATGAAAATACATGGATGATAACGGCCATTAACGGGATAAGGCCATTTCTAGCTCATATACTGAACTCAATTTTATTGTATATAAACAAAATCATTGTGACAGTAACTATAAATATGGTAAGTTACGTCTAAGATTGTACGTAGAATCATTTTTATTATTCTTTAGGATCATTTGGTCGATAGAGTCGGATCGGTCGTTTGTTTGCTGCTTGGACTGGTCTTGAATTTGTTTCAGATTCCTGCAAAAAAAAATTATGATCAAATAAAGAATTAGCACCCAAGGTACCAAATATGAGTCATTTTGACAAATTTTGAAATATTTGACGTTTTAGACAATAAGTAAGAGTTTACCTTTTTTTCCCCTTCAAATTTACATTTACTACTCCAATTAATGGAGTATTAATTAAATGTGACGTATAAAACAAAAACTAAAAAGTTATTTAATTCAATCGAATATTTTTATGATTAAGGATAATCATATATTTCTTAAAGGGTTTGCCAAAATCTTAAAATGTTACAAAAAAATATGGACCGAAGGTGAAGTGTAGCAACTTACGTCATGAACAGCCTCGCGAATTAGTTTCATTTGCTCTCTTGTAACAGTCCTCACCTGAGAAAATATAAAGCAAACGAAATTGAATATTAAACTTCAAATTGATAGTGGCAAAAAGAATAATCACAGCATAGATAGAACGCTAGAGTTTTTAAATTACCTTTCTTACAATAGTCCAGACAACATCTTGAGTGCAAGGAGGAACAGTCAAGGAGCCAATATATCTGTAATATTTTCTGCTACCTAACTTCACTTGTTTTGGATCAATAACTCCAATATTTCTTTCCACACCTTTTGTATGGGCTAGAGCCTTTAAATCATCCTCGATCTGTAACAAGAGATAGAGGCGGAAACAGGATTTAAAGTTTATGCGTTTTGAATTTGCAATCGAACCCATAGCTCGTTAGTTACTGGGTTCGCAATTAAGTATTAATACATATTTAATGAATTTTCTAGTACAAATATATCGTCTAAGCAAAAAGTTACTAGGTTCGTCCGAACTGGTTCAAGATAATGAAATCAGTAGGGAATATGAACGAACCCACTTGAACTAACACATCTTCAATCACTCCTTCAGGATGAGCAAGGGAGCGATCAACCAACTGTAAGATTACTGTTGTTGGGCGCGGCTCACCCAACCCCAACTATCTGAACACAGATAGCAGCATCAAATTGATGCTCACTCCAAGATCACATAACGTTCGCCTAACTGCATGTTTACCAATTGAGATTTGGATAGTGAAACTACTCGGATCCTTCAATTTCTGAGGTAGCTTGCTTTGAATTCTTGAGCCACATTCCTCAGTGAGTGCCACAGTCTCGAACTCGGTCAACCTTCTTTTATTGGCCACTATGTCCTTGATGTATTTTGCATATTTGGGTACTTCTTGCAGGATGTCTACCAGTGGAATATTAATTTGCACATGCTTCAAAATATTGAGAAACTTTTTATACGTGGCATTATCCTTCAATTTCTGCAATCTTTGAGGGAATGGAGGTGATGGCCTCTCTCCAATGGTGGGGTTTGCTTAGCCACCGCCTCTTCGGCTGGCTTCTCTGACTCTTTTGGTTTTTCTGATTCTGACAATATAGTGGCCGAATTCTCATTAAAGGTTACTTGTTTTCTCTTTTTCAACTGGACTTCTTCTAACTGTCTCCCATTCCTTAATGACACAACATTAATAGATGCCTTAGGATTAGCCTTAGTATCGTTGGAAAGAGCTCCAATTGGTCGAGTATTTTGGGAACTAGCAAGTTGTCCCATTTGTCACTCCAAATTTCTCATTGTTGCGGCTTGGGCCTGCTGGCCAGCCATCACTTTCTTCATCATGCTGTGTGGGCTTGCTGCTTAGCCATCAACTTCTTCATCAGTTCCTCACTGTGACTTGTTGAGTTTGCATTTCGCTCAGCTTGAGGTGGTCTATATTGTTGTTGAGGTGCTTGTGGTCAATATTGATTCTTAGCACCTTGGTTTTCACCCCAAGAGAAGTTTAGGTGGTTCCTCCAGTTAGGATTGTAGGTGTTCCCATACTGGTTTGTCTGGCCCCTATTTGCATTACCCACAAAATAAATAGACTCTGGATTAACTGGGTATAAGTCGCTCGTATGACCCTCGCCACATACTTCTCAAAACAATTGAACCTATTGCACTGGTTGAGCTTGTTGCTTGTTAATAACCAAGGTCATTTGATTGACTTGGTTGGTCAATGTGGAAATCTGCACTGATAATGCCGAGACGACATCTAACTCGAGAACCCTACAGATTTTTGCAATTTGTGTCTTCCCATCTCTCCTTGCCAATCAGGATTGCTTTTGGAGAATTTGTCCAATAACGCATATATCTCATCAAAGCTTTTCTCCAACACTTGACCTCCAGCTGTAGCATCTACCACAATCTTTATCTCAGGATATAGCCCTTCTATGAATGTGTGAGCTAACACTTCATTTGTCTGATTGTGATGAGGACAGTCTCTTAGAAACTCCTTAAACCTCTCCCTAGCTGAGTATAAAGACTCCCCCGATTTCTATTTGAATGTGACTATCTCACTTCTGATCTTTGCACTTTTGCCTGAAGGAAAGAACCTTGTGTCACACCTCCTTTTTCCGCCTCAGCGAGGGTACAAGAAGTTTTTTCCAATTAAAGGACAATCAAAACGGGATTTGTTTGTTTATTTCAGAGTCGTCACTTAGGAGATTTAGGGTGTCCCAAGTCGCCAATTTAATCCCGAATCGAGGAAAAGAATGACTCTGTATTACAGTCTGCGAACCAGAAATCCGGATAAGGAATTCTGTTAACCCAGGAGAAGGTGTTAGGCATTCCCGAGTTCCGTGGTCCTAGC